AAATGTATTCCCCATAGGAAGAGAAACAAAGGCTAAGTGTTGGGTAAGGTATCACAGTTTATGATGGGCAGTGATGAGTGTTGCTGTAATGATGGGCAGTGATGGGCGTTGCTGTGATGATGGGCATTAATGAGCGTAGCTATGATGATGAGCAGTGTTGGGCGTAGCAATGATGATGGACAGTGATGGACGTAGCTATGATAATGGGCAGTGATGGGCGTGTCCACGATGATGGGCATGGCCACGATGATGAGCGTGGTCACGATGATGGGAAGTGATGGAGTAGACACGATGATGAGCGTGGGTACGATGATGGGCGTGGCCATGATGATGGGCGTGGTCACGATGATGGGCATGGTCACGATGATGGGCGTGGCCGCGACGATGAACGTGGCCACAATGATGGGCGAGAATAAAGCAGGTGGAAGAGGTGGGCCAGGCAGGGTTGCCCTAATATGTATGGTAATGTCCCTTCCATAAGATGGGGAAATGATAATTAATAATGCATAAATTACCTAGATTGGCATTTATTCATGAAGTTATGTGGAGAAACAAGTGCCGGACGACGGATAACAACACCTTCCATGATATTTTTTGTTACGGTATGAAAAAAAATACACAAGGCTAGAGAAATAAAACGGCAGGAAAGTAAACGGCATAACTGAGACAAAGCTACGTATTAAAAGAAAAAGAAGACAGTATTTGTATTAGCAAGCCTAAAGAGTCTGCCCCAAGGATGCAACCCAAAAACAACCTACTAATAGGTTTCTGTTTACTGGTAGAACATAAGAAAGGAGGAACACTGCAACAAGTCTACTGTCCCACACTTGGCAGGTTCTTGTCAAACCCAGACCCACTAATAAAAATGTTCGCCCAACCTATTATCAGTGTTAACCAAGGAATAACCTTTGATAACCCTATTAAATCAAGTGCAAGTCCCACTCAAATCCCACTCATGTGCTATCTAACCTATATTTGAAGCTATCCAAGCTGTTAGCTTTAGTGACAATACTAGGTAGACTGTTCCACTCATCGACTACACTCTTTCCAAACCAGTCAACAGTTGTTAGATTTGCTCCCATGTGCATCACCACCCAGGATTCGAGCCGGGTACTGTTGATTGAGTCGAAATGAGGTACCACAGCGCTACGAATAAAATAAATATTCTGTTGGTTTTAATTTCATTATTTCCTGGGGTGAAGTGGTGAGGTACACATCTCACTGGAACAAAATATATGCCACACTGCACATTATTTATTTTCATTAATCGCTCTATAATTATTATTCCATTTAAACACGATATGGAGTTGGGCAGTATAATAACTATCTCGTTTACATTAAAATTGTTATGGTAATGGACTGAAGTTGTTTAACAGATGTATCGTATGTTGGCGTCAGAAAGCCAGGGGGTTAAATATTCTGAAAGTCAAGTTGAGTTGAATCACTTTGCTGTCAGTTTGAAATTCGGTGTTGCTGTCAAGCAGTTGTGGTTCTGATGGTTATGTTGATTAAAGCGGACCGACCTGGCTGTGGCCCCGAGACGAGGTACGAGTTGAGGTAGAACATGTTAGACACAGACCTGACTATACTAAGGGTGAAGCAAGGTGCAAGGTGGGGTATGGCATGGTAGACAACCATTGTGGTGTGTATCTACCAAACATCATCTTAAGCGCTTTCCGTGACCACAGGCTGATAATGTTGCAGCTTTGGCGCTCCAGCACAAGTGATAACCTCCAGAGGAAGGAAGGCAAGACGACAAAAACCATTTTTTTCCCTTTTGTTTTTCTCTCTTTCTTCGTCGTAGTAGTAGTACTAATAGTAACTCCTTATGGTTAATATCTCAAAAAAGCCAGACAGTGTGCCTTGTCTTCAGTGGGGTCCTTCGGTTCTCTTCCTGATGTGAACACAACTGTCTATTAACTCCCAGGAACCTATTTACTGCGGTACGTGTATAGAGACTATTTTATGAGCCTTGTTGATTGTAAATGATTTTATGCATTCTAGTTGTCCATATGCTAGTTACTCAGATTATCAAGGGTCCCGCAGTTACTCCTAAATTTAACTTTGGAATATCTCAGCCGGAGATGATGAAATCAGTTGCCGACATTAATCAGGCTCGCTAGTTAATAGCGCAGATGAAAGCGTCCCTCGTTTGTTGGTGTGGTGTATGAACGATCTTCACACACATCAAATCAACCACCGACACTCAGCTATTCTGTTCGCGTCCATCGCCTGCGCCTTTACACACCCTCTGTTGGTTTTACCCCGCTGTGCTCCATAATTATTGACAGTCTGTTGAAAGGAATAGTCACCCATGGCGTCCGACACACTCCTGTTTTTTTTTTTTCCTGGTGACACGTACATTTTCTCTGGTAATTTATGGGTAACCATAATATTCAGGTATAACAACAGTCATTTGATATTAATGTTGGGGAAAATATTTTGATGCGAATAATGGGTTGTTGGCATCACAGTGCTGGAGGTGATGGGAGGCAAGATTTATGAGCCGTTGACCCTAGGCTGGGCGGCCACTATGGGTCCGACCAGCTCAGGGGTAACTATTTATACTGCCTCTTCTCCCGGCCCTGTCAGGTACTTGTTTAAACTGAAATTGATAATCCTTGATGTATATAATTTTTTGTTCTACGTTAGTCTAGCAGCCAATGAAGTCATTGAAATATTTTTCGCTGTAAAATTATGAATACTTCCCTCGACTTGTTTATGTATGGCGTTGAGTCGAGGTGCATGTAGTATGTTGAATGTTAATATATGATGATTCACCACTTAACTCTCTGAGCAGCGTTTTTTTTTTTTATCACATAGCATTGTTGTGAGTGTCTTAACACTTAATGGCGTAAACCATCTTAGAATGCTACTCTATGTGGTAACCCTTTGTTTTTATTTCCTAAATTATGTTCAAACTTAACTCCGGTAAGCGCTAGCGAGTCATCACGTGACAAATACCTGTTGTCATGTTTCCTGACGAACAAAACACCTACATCTGGGGTGGCCCGGTGGCCTGGTGGCTAAAGCTCCCGCTTCACGCACGGAGGGCCCGGGTTCGATTCCCGGCGGGTGGAAACATTTCGACACGTTTCCTTACACCTGTTGTCCTGTTCACCTAGCAGCAAATAGGTACCTGGGTGTTAGTCGACTGGTGTGGGTCGCATCCTGGGGGACAAGATTAAGGACCCCAATGGAAATAAGTTAGACAGTCCTCGATGACGCACTGACTTTCTTGGGTTATCCTGGGTGGCTAACCCTCCGGGGTTAAAAATCCGAACGAAATCTTATCTTATCTGTGACTTAACTGTTCTGGATGCGCACAGTAATTATTGAAATTTAGTTACTAAACCATTCAAGTTCTTTTGGTAAGGCACATAACGAGAAGTGTGTAAAGTATGGGCTGAATGACTCGGTAAAATTTAGTTTAGGTTTGGAACACACAACATACTGTTTTTCAGCAATGGTCTTGCAGGCATACAGAGATTATGGGAACATAATTTAACCCAGGATAACCCAATAAAGTCAAGCACTGACTTATTTACATTAGGGTTAACGGCTTACCGTTTTTGTATATTATTATTATAATAATTTGATGATAAATGGTTTCGTTGAAGACATCAATAGTCGCTCCAAGTTCTCATAAACCACGTCTTTCCTTATGTATGGTTATTATCTTAGATATTTACATCAATTTGCGAATAACACATACTGTCGGTTATGTCGTCTAATTATTATTATTTTTTTATATTTTGTATTGTCAGTATTTTTATTTGTTGCAGTAAGGATGCAGTAAGATTGAAAGTAAAGCGAGTTTACTTGAAATAAATCACGTCATGTGAGTTTATTGGGTTATCTGTGGTCAAATCTTGATAACTTATTAAATCTCTGTTTATAATGACCTTGTGATTTGTACGTTTATTGTAGAAATTAATTCATCAGGTTATGAATGTAAATCTAACCAAGGTAATGCTTGCAGCTGTTGATTTTGCAAGTGTTGTATTGTAGAGATCCTGCAGCTGTTGATTTAACAACAAAGTTTTGAAGCTAAATCATGTTTATAAAATTGCTCACAAACAGTGTCCAGAATATCTTGCTGTCAATTTTGTCAAGGTTGGGAACCAAAGCAATCATAGTACTAGGGGGAGAGAGCACAACTTTGTAGTACCCACAGTCAGTGGCCAGGCTTCAAACACCTTTTATTGTACAGCAATAAAGGAATGGAACAGACTGCCTGCACATGTCAAAGCCAGTCTTAGCATGAACCAGTTCAAGAAGAGTGCCAAAAGGTGTCTGATGAATGTAGCTACAGAAAGGGAGGGGAATTATTTTCTGTTTTTTTTTTTAGCTAACACACCTGTAAATTTTACCTTATTCCTAGTAATGACCCTCGTATTGTAGATAGTCTTTTTAGTATGATAATAAGTTGTTATCTTCATTGTAGAATAATAAGAAAATATTATAACCTTTATATTATAATAATAAGGTAAAAGGACCCCAATGGAAATAAGTCACTGTGTCTGACTTTTTTGGGTTATCCTAGGTTCTCGACACATATGCTGCTATGTGTGATAATTCTATGTAACTGTATTTGTGTATACCTGAATAAACTTACTTACTTGCAGAGATCCTGCAGCTGTTGATTTGACAATAGTGTCTCCTCAAAGGAGGTTCCTTGGCGCTGGTAAGGGGCTCTTGATCTAGGGAATTGGATCTGTGCGCCAGTTCCCTGAATTGAGCTTGAATACCTTCCATCCCTCCCCCACATGCGCTGTATAGTCCTTCGTGTTTAGCGCTCCCCATAATAATAATTGACAATAGTGTTGTGTTGCAGAGATCCTGCAGCTGTTGATTTGACAACAGAGTTGTGTTGCGGAAATAATACGCCGTCTATCGTACATTTTAATGTTTATTGTGTACATCTTTGTGGATATTTAAGCTTATATTAGGTGCGTCTAGGACATATAATGACAGCTGATTGTATTGTGTCATCTTAGGTCTGTGGTGCTGGGGTCGAGGAAATACACTTGTATTCACCCCATCGTCAGTAAGTCCAGTAACCAGAACGAAGGTTGCAGGGACTTGCTGGACCCCCACACGGTATGTGCTCCTTTCTTTGTCATTACCTGCTACTTGTTACCTAGTTGTGATCATTTGTGATTACCTTTTTGTTTGTGCTTACCTTTTATTACAATTAACCGTTCGTGATTACCTTTTTGTTATTAACTTTGTGATTATTTTTGTAACTAACTGTGATTATTAATTTGTTATATGCTTGTTAATACTCATTTATGATTAGCTATTTTATTACATATTTGATTACCTATCTGTAGTAACCAGTTTGTGATTACTTTTTTTAGTAGTTACAGTAGCTGAGCTGTAGTCGTAGCGACTTAGTGATTATTTTCCCAGATATTGCCGGGTCACCAAAATGGAAGAGACCCGGGCCGGGATTACCGGCGAATCAAATAGAATTTCCCAGATATAGTTAAAAGTTTCCTGTAGTTTTAGATCTTTCTACCTTCACAAATAACCCGCACATAAAAGAGAGAAGCTTATGACGACGTTTCGGTCCGACTTGGACCATTGACAAAGTCACACTAACCAGAGGTGGAGCAGGACGGCTATATATAGCCGTCCTGCTCCACCTCTGGTTAGTGTGACTTTGTCAATGGTCCAAGTCGGACCGAAACGTCGTCGTAAGCTTCTCTCTTTTATGTGCGGGTTATTTGTGTATCGTTCCAGTCACGGTATTGTGCCTTTTTTGTTATTTCTACCTTCTCTTCGATTTCGTTCCAGTACTCCACCACTCGACTTGTGAAATTTTTTTTTAGTATCCTTCCTGTTGATGTTAAAAAATTATCCATCTTCATTTATTGACTGTATGTAGCAATCGTCTTTTGTTTTCCTCTTTATCATCAAAGACATTTTTTAATGTTTTCAGTATATTTTTTCCATTTTTTTTTTATATTTTATTTAGAACAATACAATACAAGAGATAGATAAAGACAAAAACAGGTCTTACACAGAATAAATCATTAACAACCACACAAACATGAACTTGAGATAACACAAATATCCCTCCTCACCCATACATGAAAACCCCTACACCTATGATAACCAATAAACGACTAAAAATCAAAGATTTTCATCCTCATTTCTTCACTTATCTTTCGGCAATCTCCGCCTCTGCTTCCCACTCACGACTTAATAATGATTCAGAAGGGACCGAGACGTCATCTGCTGTACAGTATCCTCTCCAAACTGCGAGTTACTTATGAATTGTTCCAGCCGCAGTATTGTGACTTGTACCTTTTTCAAGTTGTTTAGATAGCGCATTCATTTCTTACTCTGAGAGTCAGTATGTTTGTTGCTCATCTTAGTTCTTATTTACTATCTTATCTATATGGTTTTAATCGAGGACACCAGTACTAGAATATTAATAAAGATTATTCCTTAGCGTAACAAATTAGTAGTGTAGTTGTAGTAGTAGTAATAGAAGCAACAATAGTTTTTCAACTTTAAGTTATAGTATTATTTTTATCATCGTCATTATTATTATTTTGTCACAGGATCGTCGCAGGTCTCGACTTGAAGAGGTCGAAGATGAACTAGAAATACGTGTAGTAAGTAACGTAGAACGTAGTTACCTTGTGATTCTTCCTCCCCTTCCTTCTTTGAGGTGTTCTGTGTTGAGGTCTGCTTTGAGAATGCTCTGAGGGTCAACGCCTCTGCGGCCATGTCCCTGACCAGGCCCTAGTCGCTGATAA